TCCCACAAACACAACACTCTGCCATATATAAGGACATACCTAGCAAGAAAGACCCATACATCTGTGTGACCGGAGGGCACTGGGGACATCATTGTAGTTATTGGAAGGCGGCTGGGTGGAATACTGGTAGACCATGGGGATACAAGCCCCAATGTGCCTTGGATAGAGTTGACAAAATGTGTATCGGGCCGCTTTCTTTTTGTATTGAGGTAGACTAAGTAAAGTGTTGGTACTGGATCGGAAGTTATAGGAAGTGGGAACAGCCGAGGAGAGCATTTTGTTCAGGTAGGGTGGGAGTTTCCCAGAAAAGCTCATAAAAACAAGGCTGGAAAGATGAAGGGTGCATCTGGATTCCAGCGACAGCCAGTTTAGTTCTTTTACCATGTCACAATGGGGGGTCCTGTAATCACATTTTAGCATAAAGCAGCAGAACGAGTTATACAATGTATTGAGTTTAAGGTGGGATTGCGATGCAGATGCATATGCTACATCCCCATAATCAATGATTGGCATTAGCATTTGCTGTACAATCTTTTCCTTTACTGTAGGGCTTAGGCAGGATTTGTTACAGGGCACCTAGTTTTGGATAAAGTTTAGATGCAAGCTTTTCTATGTGGAGGCCAAAAGATAGATTGGGGTCTAATATCATACCCAAGTATTTGAAAGAGTGGACTGCGGTCATTGTGCCATTTGAATTTGTTTTGATGGATAGGTGGGAATCGTGTAATTTGTGTAATTTAAGTACTGTTCCAAAGATCATTGTGACAGTTTTGTCAGTGTTCAGGAAGAGTTTGTTTTTTGCGATCCAATTTTCTACCTCTGTAAACTGATCTTGGAGCACAGCCTCAAGTTGCGGTAGATTGGATTTGATTGCATAGATTACTGTGTCGTCTGCGTACATGTCTACATGTGATGATTGGCAGGCAGTAGGCAGATCATTTATAAATAATGTAAATAGTAGGGGGCCGAGAATGGAACCTTGGGGAACACCACATGTGACTGGGAGAGGGAGGGAGTCGCTGTCAGAAATGGACACATATTGCGAGCGATCCGATACAAACGATCAAATCCAGGTTAGCGAACAATCACCAATACCTGAGTTTTTGAGTTTGTGCAGTAGAATGTCGCGGTCTATTGTGTCAAAGGCCCTTGCAAAATCCAGGAAAATAGCTCCAGTTAGGTCTCCTTGTTCCATGTCAGTTTGGATGTCATTGCAAACTTTTAAGAGGGCAGTTGTAGTGGAGAGATTCTGGCGAAAGCCCGATTGATCAGGGGTCAGATAGTTTGATTGTTGGTAGTACTCACACAGTTGCGTATGGACGAATTTCCCTAAGATTTTGACAATACCGGGAGCAATGATATTGGGCGATAGTTAGAAACCAAAGTAGTGTCACCACTTTAATGGACAGGCACTACTCTCGCAGTCTTCCAAAGGATTCGTTAATTAGGGTTGTGACAGGTTTTGGAATTGCCAGCACACTGAGCTTAAACAGCATTGCTGGGATTTGATCAGGCCCAGACTGGTTTTATTAGGGTGTTGCTTAAAGGCCCACTATAGTGCCAGGAAAACATACTCGTTTTCCTGGCACTATAGTGCCCTGAGGGTGCCCCCACCCTTAGCGTCCCACTCCCGCCGGGCTGAATGGAGAGGAAGGGGTTAAACACTTACCTTTCTCCAGCGCCGGGCTCCCTCGATGCTTGAGACTCTACTTCTCCTTTCCCCGTCATCGGCTGAATGCGCATGCGTGGCAAGAGTCTGGCGTCTTCTCTCTGTGATTTTCACAGTGAGAAGCGCAGAAGCGCCTTTAGCCGCTGTCAATGAGACAGCCACTAGAGACTGGATTAACCCATTCTCTGAAACTGCTATGTTTATAAAAACAATGGGTTAATCCTAGGTGGACCTGGCACCCATTTCATTAAGCTGCAGTGGTCTGGGTGCCTAGAGTGGTCCTTTAATGACACTAATGGGTACAGGTCTAAAGATAAACTTGTCTATATTGTGTCTTTGCAAATTTAGTGGGGCCTGATCCACATTCGTAGTTTCAGGATGCGTGTCATTTATTTGCTTGGCAATCAGGTTGGTGGAGCATCTGACAAAATAATTGTTAAAGGCATTTGCTACATCTAATGGACGTTGCAGGGTTTGGCTGTCCACTCTGACAGTGGAGGGTCTATATAATAATATAATAATAATATAATAATAATATGATACGATAATAGTAATAATAATAATAACAATATGATACGATAATAGTAATACTATAATTAATAATATAATGAAGCGGTTAATGGAGAGCCATACACACTAAAGCCCCGGTCAGTCAAAGTGGGCGGGGTTAACAATGTTTGGACCCGTGTAGTGGGCGTGGTTACCAGCTTTTCCTCGTGTTTTGACCAGCATGCAGTGGGCTAACCACTCACTGGAGCCCCAGGTAGTGGGCGGGGTTATGACCTCCCTCCTGCATGGATCGCTGATCCGTGGGCGGGGTTAGTGTAAGTGGGCGTGGTTATTACCTCCCTCCTGTATGGATCGCTGACCCGTGGGCGGGGATAGTGTAAGTGGGCGGGGTTATTACCTCCCTCCTGTATGGATCGCTGACCCGTGGGCGGGGATAGTGTAAGTGGGCGGGGTTATTACCTCCCTCCTGTATGGATCGCTGACCCGTGGGCGGGGATAGTGTAAGTGGGCGGGGTTATTACCTCCCTCCTGTATGGATCGCTGACCCGTGGGCGGGGTTAGTGTAAGTGGGCGTGGTTATTACCTCCCTCCTGTATGGATCGCTGACCCGTGGGCGGGGTTGCCGGATGACGTCAGTGGGCGGAGCTCTCGGGGCGCTATGTGTCATGGCTGCCTGGTCCAGCTCTGGAGACCCCGGCTCGCGGCCCCCCTGGAGGAGACACATCGGCCGGCAGCTCAGAGTCCGCGATCACCGCGAGAAAACGGCCTACCACGAGCTCATCCAGCAATGTGAGAGCCGCCTGCAGCCGCCGCAGCGGAGTACAAAGGGGGAGGGGCCTGGTATACATTATATGGGGGGGCTGTGTATACATTATTAGGGGGGGCTGTGTATACATTATTAGGGGGGCTGTGTATACA